TTTCCAAATATCCGAGACCTGTGGTGTGGATGACGGTGTCCAGGGCAGGCTCCTCATCTACCATGGTCAGACACATGTGGGGGAGGCTGGCCACTCACTTGCCATGTGGAGAGGGAAGTAGAGAGAGACAGCCTATAGTCAGGACAACCAGATGGGAGGTGGCCGGGACCACGCAGAGGTAGACTTGGCATCACAACTTAGTGGGAGGAGTTGATGTCTTGGGTGTGGAGGCCAAAGCCTGGGGAAAAGATACAGAACAAGAAGAGAGGTTGGTCAAGGCTAGAGCCTGAGAAGTACCAGGTGGAGCCACCCTTGGCCACTGTGCCCGCGCTCCCCTCCTAACTAGAGCACACTCTGAGGAGTAAGACTTGGAATCTCCCCCAGGGCCCACAAGAAAATACAGCATACAGCATACAGCAGCTGCTCTGCCAATGCTTCCGCATTAACTGACTTGTTTATTCCAGACAGCAGGGGATGACACCACAAGAATCCCATTTAAACAAGTATGTCAAAATTCCCATATTTTAGCCAAATGCATTTAAATATCGACCTGTGCAGAATTAGCAGCTGTCATCCACTTCTAGATTCACAATGCTCTTTTTGGAAAAGGTGTACACAGTCTAGCTAGCTTTAAGTGGCATCTTTTATCACAAAGCAAGGAAGAGGTGCATGAACCGGGCCCTCCTGGGTGGATCTGGTGAACAGCCCTCAGGGCTAGGGGTCCACAAGAAGGAGACTAAGGAACTTCGTTTTCAGGGACTCCTGCTTGCAATTGCAGAGCCCTCTGCCTAGTTTCACATTTGTATTATTTTTCTTAAAGAAAGTGTCTCCAAATCCAATAGGCTTGAAAGCCCCCAAACCAAAGCCAGGCCTGGCCACCAGCAGATTCTGAGGCACTTTTGTCCCACTGCCGCCTCCTTGGACTCTGTTTCCCTGACTCACTCGGCTGCAGCCACGGGCCTCCTTGCTCTCTGAACGTGCTCGGCACGAGGGCCTTCACCTTGGCTGTTCTCTCTGCCAGGTCACCCCCTCCTGGGTGTTCCCCTTCTTCAGCCTATGCTGAAGAAGCACCTTCTCAATGCAGCCTGTTCTGACCTCCCTGTTTAAGTGAACCCCACTGCTCCCCCAACCCTGCACCCACTCCTGCCCTCCCTACCCTGCCATGTATCCTCATAATTCACCATCACTAACACACTGCAGGCCTCGTTATTGGGAGCAGGTGTTGGCATAACAGCTCAGGGGCTTGGGTCCTTGCCACCTGCCTGGAATACCCGGATTGAGTCCCAGCTGCAATCCTGGCTTCAGCTTGACCCAGTACTGGCAGTCGTGGCGTTTGGGGAGTGAACCGTCACGTGAAAGATCTCTCCATCTTTCAAAATAAAAAATCTCACTATTATTTTCTGTTCCCTCCATCCCAAGGATAAGTTCCATTAAAAAAGGAGAAATCCTAAGGCTGGTGTTGTAGCATAGTGAATAAAGTTGTCACCTGTGATGCCGGCATCCCATATGGGCACCAGTTCGAGTCCCAGCTGCCCCATTTGCAATCCAGCATTCCTGCTAATGGCCTAGGAAAATCAGAAGAAGATGGCCCAAGTCCTTTGTCCCCTGTCACCCATATGGGAGACCCAGATGAAGCTCCTGGCTCCTGGCTTTGGCCTGGCCCAGCCTTGGCTATAGTGGCCATCTGGGGAGTGAACCAGCAGATGGAATATCTCTTTGTCTCTCCCTCTCTCTCTAATTCTGACTTTCAAATAAATAAATATTTAAAAAATAAAACTAAAAAAAGGGAAATTCAGTATGTGTTACTCACCTCCATGCTAGCACCTAGGACACAGACGCTTGGTTGCTATTTGTCTGGTAAAGGCCAGAAACAGCAAGGTGTGAGGCCGGGGGCGGTTTCAGGGCAGCTCTGGCCAGTGAGCATCCGAGTGAGGGAAAGCTGCTCCAGGGCGACTCAGCTTTGCAGGCTGGGCCAGGCCTGTGGACCACACGTGAGGCCATGGGTGCTGGGCTGCCGTGTCCCTGCCTGCCTGCCTCTGCATGCGTCACCAGGCTGCTGGACAGCGCTGCCACCTAAGAACAGACCAGAGACATGGCGGCTGGCAGAGCAGAGGGGCTGGAGCCTTCCCTGCCTATCTCACTGGCTCTGGGGACCAGGGACTTTTTTTTTTTTTTTTAAGATTTTATTTATTTATTTGAGAGGTAGAGTTAGACAGTGAGAGGGAGAGACAGAGAGAAAAGTCTTCTGTCCGCTGGTTCACTCTCCAGATGGCTGTAATGGCGGGAGCTGAGCTGATCAGAAGCCAGGAGCCAGGAGCTTCCTCCAGGTTTCCCACATGGGTGCAGGGACCCAAGCACTTGGACCATCCTCTGCTGCTTTCCCAGGTCATTGCAGAGAGCTGGATCAGAAGTGGAGCAGCCAGGACTTGAACCTGTGCCCATGTGGGATGCCGGCACTGCAGGCGGAGGCTTAGTTTACTACACCACAGCATCAGCCCCATGAACCATGGAACTTTCCATGTGTGCTGAGCAGTCCGGACTAATCACTCAGCGAGCCCAGTGCCGACTTCCTAGGGAACAGAGCAGAGACTGTTGACTCAAAGCTAGTGTCGACTTCCTGCCTCTACAGTGGTGGCTGTTGGGCTGGGAGCACACATCTGGTGGACGCCCGCTGGCCTGACCCGAGGAGGCCACAGTGGGGCTCCAGAGTAGGAACCACTTGTGGCATTGCAACCCCACAGGGACACGTCACTGTTAGTGTTTCACCCTGGCGCCAGGAAGAGGGCGTGCCTATGAGGCGCAGGCGTGGGTAACACCATGATGTTGGCAGATCTGGCCATCCCCAGTTGGCCGGCCAGCCAAGACCCACCTCTCCACCCCCTGCAGACAATGCTGATGGCATCATGACAACCCTGGTCTTTATATAGCGCTCCACAGTTGCCAAAGCTCTGTGTCATAGCCTACTGCATTTTACCGTCATGGGAACCTGTACGAAAGAGCAGGAATGGTCGTCCCACTTCCCATAGGAAGAACGTGAGGCTCGAAGTCCAGGTGACGCACCAGGGTCACAGAGCTGGGCCACGTCAAAGGCAGGCTGGCTTTTGCACTAGCAGCCACACCCTGTCCTTGGTGTTCTGAGCTCAGGGACATGGGCTCCTGACATCCCTGGGGTTAACACCTGTGACTTCCACTATTCCCCAGAAAGCTGAGCAACTCCTGAGTGTGGTGACCTAATCCTGCACTATGGGAATGGATTGGAACCTTCCTGCAGGCCTAAGTCACTCAGCTGGGGAGAGAGCCTTGCCGGCCTTCCAGTGCCCTTGGCTTTAAACACTGCCACGGACACCCTGACTCTGCTGCAGTGATTTCCAAACAGAAACAAAATGCACTTGTTTCTTTCCGAGACATGGGCACCAAGTGAGAGTCAGTAAAATTCAGAGGGAAATGGTGTGTGGATTTCATTCTCGGAGTGTGACTATCAGTGGAACGGTCTTTGCACCTGCCCTCTCTTATGCACTCCCCAGGTGTCAGATACTGTAGAAAGTGCTTATCTCCTTTATGCCTCCCCATCTAAAAGATAGGGAAGGGGCCAGCACTGTGGCATAGTGGGTAAAGCTGCCTCCTGCAGTGCCAGCATCCCATGTGGGCGTCAGTTTGAATCCCGGCTGCTCCACTTCCAATCCAGCTCTCTGCTATGGCCTGGGAAAGCAGCAGAAAATGGCCCAAGTCCTTGGGCCCCTGCATCCCCGTGGGAGACCTGGAAGAAAGTGCTGACTCCTGACTTCAGATTGGCCCAGCTCCAGCCGTTGCAGCCATCTGGGGAGTGAACCATCGGATGGAAGACCTCTCTCTCTTTTTCTGCCTTTTCCTCTCTGTAACTCCACCTTTCAAATAAATAAATAAATCTTTTTTTTTTAAATGAAAGATAGGAAAGCTGAGGCCTACAGAAGTTAATCAGCTAACGCCTCACAGAGGGTAATGATGGAGCTCAGACTCAAATTTGTCTCTGGGTGCTCAAACCCCACGTCTGAAACTCTCATTGTACTGAGCCTCCTTGGAAATGGATCAGCAGCCTATGTGAATCCTACAACATTTCTGACCCACAAACCTGCAGCTACAGGAAGGCCCCAGAATCTTCCTGTGGTCCTCATAATTCATTCTGTCCCACTCCCTCGCTCTTCCCATTCGCCCCTCCATTCCTCCCCAGTCAGCTCAGAACCATCCTCGCCTATCTTCCCTTTCTCAGGCTGACCTTCTCTCTAAATCATGCAGAACAAGCCATGCAGGCCCAATTAGGACTGCGCAAAGCAGACATGACCCTTGACCCGCTGCGGAGCTCATGCTGGGAGGTCACTGGGTGATGGGAGGTGATGCCCTAGGAAGGGATTAGTGCAGATTTCATGGGAGCCGTTGGCTCTTATGAGAGTGGCTTGTCATTACTGAGCAAGACTGGTCTCCCCCTTGCTGTGGCCTCCTATTTGCCGTGGGATCTCTCTTGTGGGCACACACTCCTGCCATCACACCATCCACTGTGTGATACAGATAGGCTGCCCGCATCAGAGCTGGCAGAGGTCGGCCCCATGCTCTCAAACATCCCAGACTGTGAGATAAATCAGCCTCTTTTCCTTGTCCATTATGCAGCCTCAGGTATTCTATTATAGCAACAGAAAATGGAGCAATACACGGGAGAAGGCTTGTTAGTTGATGAGAAGGAGATAGGGCAGGAGGAAAAGAAATGGGGCGTGGGGGCTGCTATTTGAGCTGTGGGATGAGGCAGGGTTTTCCTGAAGAAACAGCATTTGGGCTGAGACCAGAGTTGCATGAGGGTGGAGTTGAGCCACTGTCAGGGAAAGACTATCCCCAGGGAATGAGCTTGGGGTACAGCTGCCGGATTTAGCCAAAGGAGAAAGAGGGTGAAGAGGAGAACGAGACAAGAAAACAGGAAAAAGGAAACACCCAGTTAAATATGAATTTAAGGTAGAATAATTTTTAGTGAATATTTCATGCAAATTTTGGAACATGCTTGTCTTTTTTTTTTTTTAATTTATTTTATTTACTTGAAGACAGTTACAGAGAGAGTTAGAGACGGAGAGAGAGGTCTTCCATCTGCTGGTTCACTCCCCAGATGGCCGCAACAGCTGGAGCTGCGCTGATCTGAAGCCAGGAGCCAGGAGCTTTTTCTGGGTCTCCCACATGGGTACAGGGGCCCAAGGGCTTGGGCCATCTTCTACTGCTTTCCCAGGACATAGCAGAGAGCTGGATTGGAAGTGGAGCAGCCGGGTCTCGAATCGGCGCCGATATGGGATGCCGGAGCTTCAAGCCAGGGCTTTAACCTGCTTCGCCACAGCACTGGCCAGAACATGCTTGTCTTAGTCTGTTGTACTACTGTAACAGAATGCCACAGACTAGGTAATTCATAAACAACGCAAGGGCATTCCTCACCATGCTGGTGGTGGGAAGTTCAAGAGCAAGGTGCCGGCAGCTTTGTCATCTGAGGACCCCATCCCTGCTTCCAAGATGGTGCCTTGTCGCTCTGGGGAGGACAAAACTGGGTCCTCACCTGGTGGAAAAGTGAAAAGGGGAGGTGAGCCCACTCCCCTTGTGCCCTTTCATAACAGTCTTAACCCCAGGCATGGGGTTAAACTGCAAATGCCGCTTTGCCATTCTCTGATCCCAAGTCCTGGGACCTGAAGGAACCCTCCTGTGCCCCTCCCTCCACTCACTTGATCCGGGCACCACAAAGGGCCCCCTTGGCTTTCTCGTGCACAGAGAGCCAGTGACATGGATAAGTGCCTGGCACATACTCAGTAAACGCTGCTAAAATAGCACGGAACTAACTGGCCTCGTGGCCTGAGTTCTCACAGCTCCATCTCACTTCTGAGCCAGCAGAGGAGGGCTGCTGGAACAGGGCTGTGGAGAAGTGGGAGCAAGCTGTTCCCACCCTTTCCCAGCCGGGGACATTGCTCCACCGCCTCGCGGAAACGCAGGCCGGTGCCAGCACAGTGGCTGCCTTATAAGGGCATTGGCCAGGCCTACCAGGTGTGTCATCCTCAGCCTCTGAGCCGGGCCCAGGGATGGCTCCAGTGACTCAAGGCCCAGGGGGAGAAGCAGACAGAGCCACGCGGGGGGCAAGTGAGAGTTTTCTCACTTCCCTTCCTCCCTGAGTGTTTCCATATGTTTTTAATGATGACCCTTTTACCTTTCCAACTGGGAAAACAGAAAAGGATTTTTTTAATTAGAAGAAAATGTACTCTAAGTGATTACTTAAGTAGTGAAGGAAAGTCCCTCTTTGGTTGTTTCTTTTAGGGGGAGGTGGGTTGGGGAGGAGTTGCTGATGAAAGGAAGAAACTAAAAACCTGTACAGAGAGCCCCTGGGAATTTTCTTTTAAAGATTTATTTTATTTATTTGAAAGACGAGTTACAGAGAGAGGTAGAGACAGAGAAAGAGAGAGAGGTCTTCCATCCACTGGTTCACTCCCCAGATGGCCACAACGGCAGGAGCTGCACTGATCCAAAGCCAGGAGCCAAGGGCTTCCTCCGGGTCTCCCACATGGATGCAGGGGCCCAAGGACTTGGGCCATCTTCTACGGCTATCCCAGGCCACAGCAGAGAGCTGGATCAGAAGAGGAGAAGCCGGGACTAGAACCAGTGCCTATATGGGATGCCAGCACTGCAGGCGGCAGCTTTACCTGCTATGCCACTGGTGCCCATATGAGATGCTGGCAATGCAGGCAGCAAGTTAGCCCACCACTCCACAACGCCAGCCCTCTCCTTGGGAATTAATACCCAGTAACCTCTTCAACACAAGGCGGTGTCCACCAGCAGTAGCTGGCCGGCATCAACACCAGGGCAGCTGCTTGGACAGCCAGTCTCTGGCCGTGGAGAGGCCAGACCAGAGAGGCCAGAGAGAGCAAGCCCAGACCGGCCAGGGATGAACAGAGAGCTCTGGAGAGGAAAGGATCCTTTTGAAAGGTTTGAACAAGACAAAGGAAAGGGTGGTGGGCTGGCCAGAGGCACTGCAGCAGCATGGCTAGGAGACTAGGCCTGGAAATCCTGCAGACCTGGGTCTGAATGCTTGCTCTGACCTTGAGCAAGTTCATTAAGCTTTGCAAGTCTCTAATGGCCCTGTGTGAAACTGTCATTCACTGAACAAAACACCAACAAGATAGCATGCCAATGCTTCACTCGCACTAACAGTGAATTTTCATCCCCAACCCATGAAGTGGAGTTTGTTATTGTCCCCACGTTACAGGATAGCGGTAACTTGCCCAAGGTCACGCGGCTGGTAGTCGGCAGGCCAGAAGTTCAGCAGATGGCAGTCGTTCATGGGCCTGTACTCTTAAGTCTAAGGCATGTGGATGAGAGGTTCTGGAAGACTGACTGGGCCAGGGCACGCAGAAGCCCCTCCAGTGGTGCCTCGCACATGGTCAATACTCAGTGAAGGTCACCTGTTCCTATAGCGGGAATTGGTGCTGGGGTGGGGGGATGCCCAAAAGCAGACCCTGAGAGCAGGATTCCTGTGCAAGTGACATAGTAGAGACCACCTCTCTGAAGACACAGGCATGGGGCTGGGGAATGAGAAACCAGGCAAGAGCGGCAGCTACAGGTGAAATCTCCCAGGGGAAGGACCTGCGAGTTTGTCCCCATCGAGGCAAGAGCATGGGGCTCTGTGCCGACACTCTGCCAGCCCCAGGCTCAGGGGTGTCTGAAGCTGTGCAGACACCCAGGCTCATCTGGGCTCTGCACGTGTGGGCCAAACAGGCTGGTAACCAGATGGCAGTCCTTCCAAGGGAGTCACCCTGTGGGGCTGTTAGGACGACAGCACTGGAAAGCACAGTGAAGTCCACAGAACCAGCAAAAATAGGTCCACAGGCCACTGGTGGGAGCAGGAGGTGTGCCCACTCCAGAGTCACCCTGCTCACCTCTCAAGCCTGCTCACGTCTTCCATTGGGTCCAGTTCATCCTACCAGTGCAGTTTCCAGAGGGCAGATGCTACAGTTCCTGGTGTGTGTGTGTGTGTGTTGTGGGGGGGGACTCACAAGAGAAGAGTTAGTGCCATGTGATATGTCTCCCCAAGCTCCACTCTTCAGCTGGTCCCTAGGCTGTCAGTGGAGTTCACCTCCCTCCTCCACCACTCTTTCTAGAAGCCCCTCTCTCAGCTGGCACTTCCATCTGTCTAGGCAGCTTGTTGTTGAGGTGGCACAGGTTCTTGTCCCACTGGCTGGAGAGCACGCATCCCACCAGAGCTTCCAGAGACTTCGCCAACTTTAGCTTATCAGGGCCAATCAACATGAAGTCATCAATACAACAGATCAAAGGGCAAAGCACTTACAGTGTTCTAAGAAGGGAAAAAGGAGAAATTCCATGCACCATAGTCACATGTGTACGTCATCAACACCAAGCAAAACTGGAGACTAGTATTCATTAACCTGTGTGATTAGGTACAGAGGAAGCCATGGAACAATAGGGACCAATGAGAGTTCTGTACAAACAAGCCAGGCCAGGAGCACACTGGGGATGAGCAAACAAGAACCTAGAAGTCAGTTTATTTGGTCTTGACAACAAGTGCAAAGGGATAGTTCAGAGGAATGTAGGTGGAAGAGCTAAAACGAACACACAAAGTGTTATTTGTAGATTTCACTTATCCAGGCAATTCTTATCCACTGATAGTTGAAAATTCAGTGTTACTTTTTGTCCTTTGCTGGGGTAGGAACAGACTGTGAACATGTTATCTTGTGGTTTCTTGTAAGTTAATGGAAAGCTGGGGTCAAAAATACTGCATGAATTTGGTGAGATACGATGCCCTGGTAGCAGGAGCTAAGCCACAAAGCCAAGGTCCACCCCAAGATGAGACATCATCCCATCTGACAGCGTGCTCCCCAAATTCTAGCAGAGTTAGCTCTCATATGCTCTCTAATATGCAGTGAGAAAAACATTTTCAAAAAATATTTTTGCATTATTTATTATTTTGAATATTATTCAGAATTTACTATTTTTGCTGTTGTCACAAGTGTAATAACTCTCATTGTAAAATATTCAAGATACAAAATAGAATATGGAAGTCATGAACCTTACCTGACCCGGTGATAACTCCTGTCCATGGTTCGGTGCATATTCTTTTACTCTTATTGAATGAAAGGCAGGATGGATGGGTAGACAGGTAGATGCTTCACAATCTCTTTTACATTAATATATTGTGAACGTCTTTCTTTGTTAAAAACTGCATTAAAAGGCTGTGCTATGTGCTAACAGAACTATCGGAAATGCTCATGGCTCCTGCTCTCTTTTAATAATGGTATAATATTCCACTATGGCTGCACAGTGATTTATTTAACCAGTTGGCTACAGATGAAAGTGGCTTATTTGCATGTTAACTGTTATTAGCAATGTCACAATTCATATTCTTTCACATAAACTTGGTACCCTTACCTGATTGTTTCTATAGGACAAGTTTCTTCAAATTCCTGAAATAGTTGGGTGGGAAATTATGCACATTCTAAATTTAGAATTGCTGTTGTTTAATTGTCATCAGAAAGATTCTACAAATTTACCCTCCCACCACCAGCACATCAGAGTACCTGTTTCCACACACCCTGAAAAACAGTAGCTTTTATTACTCACGTGGATAATTGAGTATTTGTCACAGGTGTAGTGGTGTATGCCTTGGATTATAGCGATTTCCCCCCCCCATAACCTCCCTCCCACCCACAAACCATCCCATCTCCTACTCCCTCTCCTATCCCATTGTTCATTAAGATTCATTTTTATTATCTTTATATCCAGAAATCAATTTAGTATATACTAAGTAAAGATTTCAACAGCTTGCACCCATACAGACACACAAAGTATAGAGTACTGTTTGAGTACTAGTTATACCGTTAATTCACATAGTACAGATTAAGGACACATTAAAGACAGAGATCCTACACGGGGAGTAGGTGCACAGTGACTCCTGTTGTTGATTTAACAATTGACACTCTTATTTATGGCATCAGTAATCACCCGAGGCTCTTGTCATGAGCTGCCAAGGCTATGGAAGCTTCTTGAGTTCACCAACTCCGACCTTATTTAGACAAGGCCATAGTCAAAGTGGAAGTTCTCTCCTCCCTTTAGAGAAAGGTACCTCCTTCTTTGATGGCCCGTTCTTTCAGCTGGGATCTCACTCGCAGAGATCTTTCATGTAGGTCATTTTTTGCCACAATGTCTTGGCTTTCCATGCCTGAGAAGTTGCCTTGTTTCTTGCGGAAATTGTCTATCAACGTTACTTGGTCAAAATTTTTTTAAGGAAATTTGCCTTTTTCTTCTTGGTCTGTAAATGCAGGTTACTTTTTAAGAACATTAATCCTTTGTAATATGGGGGAATCCTTTTAAAACAAGCCATTTTAGCGAAACACATGCTGCTGGCTAGCAAGGAAAAGGCAGAATGCTGCGATTTTGCAACTTCACATTCACATCCTGAGCTCCTCTCCATCCCTGTGCATGGAAGGCGTGTGTTGCATAGCAGATACAGGCTGAGGTATCTCCCCTGAATCTAAGCTACTGATCGTAGAGGGTGAAAAAGATAGAGCACGTAACTAACTGTCACATGGTACAAACTGTCACAGAGCGTCAGGTAAGGCTCAGTGAGGACGCTCCGGGGGAGTGGCGAGCAGGGAGGGAGCCTGCTCACCTTCGGGACTATCTCCCGCAGTCTGTCTTTTTCCCACTGGTTTGTGCATCCAGCAGTGTGGATTCTGTTGGGATGTTCTGAACTCGGAAATCGGGCAGAGCGGGGTGGTGAGAGCGATCGTATTTCTCACCGAACAACTTCCCAAGAGACTTCCCTCGAGCCCGGAGGGGCCTGGTGGTTCTGCAGCCTCTCCTGAGCATGGAGACACAGCAGTCCCGGCAGCTGGACTGACCCTGCACATGTCACAGATGCTGGCTTAGTGAGCTGTCCTACCCA